TCATCCTTATTACTTCTACAGGGAAGATTCTCATCAAGTTCAAAGTTATCTTTGTCAAATAAATGATCATCGTCATTAATTAGAGTTTAGTGGGTTACGCATGTGGTAATTTTTACTGTAGGTTAATGTATACTATACTGTTTTATTAATAGTTTATTGGAGATCTTTTAAATCGCAACTTTATTAGAGGTTGGATTTTTAGATAATAGACTGCAAGATAGTTTGAATTTACTTTAGGTGATAATTCAGTTTCCAAAACATATTCAAATACATTTTTAAAAGGTAATATATTTAATGAGTTTTTAGGTTCAGTGATCATTTTTATCAATCTTCATCTCCTAGTTTGTTCTATTTCGAAACATATTAATATTTAAGTATCGCACCATTTTTTAAATCTCTGAAGTTTGCTTTCAAAACAATTTAAATTTTGGGGGCTTTCGTGAAGATTCCTTTTATGAATTATAAATGAGTCCAACCATCCTAACTGTTCTATTTTGTTACCCACGTCCCTTTTAATGTAATCAGATGGAGATACCCCAGAATTGTATTCATGAATTTATTTCATATCATCTAGATAGGGCCCTTGAATTAATTCACATTACACTATAAATATGGTTCTTCTTGTATTTTATAGTTCGCTGCTTTTAAAATTTGCAATTCATCAGCTTAAGTTCATTCTCCAGACTATTTTCTTAATAAAACTGGCGATGCTTACAATCCAAATTACCTAACAAGAGAGAATAGCAAACGATGCTTAATTAAGTCATATTTAGCGTTTATAATTAAGTATGACAGGTGATGTACAATATATCTTATTAGCGTTTCACTTGGCCCATTATTGTTCTTGGAAAGCTTTTTCAAGAATTGTTTAGTGTTTACTATGAGACTCATATGCATAAATTCAGCAGACTGAAGTCTAAATGGCATTTTTCTTCTCAAAAACATAATACTAATTGTACAAACTGTTTTAAATCGCAATACTTTTAGTTTTAACAATTATGCCATATTTATTGAGAATGGACACTTTGCTACATTACCAAAAGAGTGCTTAGTAAGCATTTACAACATGCATTGTTGAAAATTAATTCTTAATGAGTATCTGTATTATATTAGATAAGTGAATCTGAAATGCTCTTTTTTGAAGATGATGCACAGGTGGCTCTAATGGAGCATATATAGTCTATTTCTATTTGCTATCAATTTTGCAATATATCTTGAATCATAGATTGAGATTTCAATGACTGCTCTATATGTTCAAATTATTTTTACGAATCTGACTGAGAGTATGATACAGTTTGATCATGTAAATGGACTGGAAGATCTCTACAAATTTATAAACTAGATTCTATTGAAGAACAATATATCTGATCAAGAGACGTTGTAGTATAAGGGCAATTGTTGCTTGCTGAAGTTATT